GGCGGAAAGCCGCGTCCCGAGCAGCCGCCGCCCGCCGCGGGCTGTGATGCGAGGCTGGCGCGCCACTTACCCGCCGCGAAGGGTTTACGTAGCGGGCTCGTCACTGATTACGGACGGGAGGAGGTGGGGACGCAGAGCCCGACGGCCGCCGCCCAGGCAACCCGGCGACGGCGGCCCCACGTCGCACCCACGTCAGCTCTGATGCGGTCGTCGCGGCCTCTCCGCCGACGCGAACAGAAAGTAGCGCGAGCAGCCGAGCGAACTGGGGCCTCGGAGCCTCCGGCCCCGCCCTCCCCTCCCCCACGCCCACCGCCTCCGAAGCGGGCGGAGGAAAAAAGTCGCAGGCTCGAACTCTGCCCCCTGCTGGCCGTCAGCAGGATTGCAGGGCTGACGACCCAACAATTAAATAGAACGGGGGGGCGGCGGGCGGGGCGGGGCCTTGGTGGGGGTTAGCGCTTGGGGCGGGGCTACTGGAAGCGTTAGTCTGGTGGAGCCGGATGGGGCAGGAAACCGGAAGCAACCTCCTCTGCGCGTGCGCCTTAAAGTGCTTTACGTTCCAACTCCTTCCGCGACGGCGCCAATGCCATCTAGGATGACTCCATTCCCCAGCCTCAGCTCCCTGCTGTAGGTGCGTGCTCGTAACTAAGGCCTCCCGGACACCCCGGCCTCAAGAGCGCCCACCTTGGCGGTGTCCATGGTTCTGGAGCACGCCGCTAGGCCTGGGGCGTACTCGGACGGGATCTTTAATTCTGCTGTCTCCCGAGAGAACTTGTTTCCTTCGGTGTCTCAAAGAAAAAGCTACAGATCTTAGGCAGAGGTGTGACAGAAGAAAGACGTCTTGTAAAAGGCAGGATTTTTTTAGAGCCTGTTATAATGCAGAGTTTCGTTTCCATTCAGGTGGAAACCGTGAGATTTTGCATAATGCCTGTAAAGCAGGAACCTGTTGTAATTAGTACCTTTCTAAAACCTCATCTTACACTATGCCCTCCTCTGGAGGGTCTGCTTCTCTGAAGACGGCCTTTCTTCTTAAAACTAAATCACTATACGATCCTAAACAAACTGAACCAACACTCTTAAGAAAATCTCTAGGGGGCTGGAGAGATGGCTTAGCGGTTAAGAGCTTTGCCTGCTCTTCCAAAGGTCCTGAGTTCAATTTCGACAACCACATGTGTTCACACCCATCTGTAATAAGATTCAGTGCCCTCTTCTGGCCTGCAGGGATACACGCAGGCAGAACACTGAATACATCATAAATAAACCTTTAAAGAAAGAAAGAAAAGTTGCTGTGAAGTGTTGGGAGCTGTGAGCCCCCAGATCCTGAATTTCTTGTAAACAACTTGTTTTCCCCTGACCTGAGTGTAGCAGTGAAGGAAATGCCTAGGAGATAGTGTAAGTGCAAAAGGGATACTTGTAGAGCAGGGGACGTAGCTGGGAGTCACAGCACTTCTCTAGGTCGCCAAGCTCAAGAATCAGTGCTTGAGGCAGGGGCTGGCGGCTCTCTGAGGACAGCCTGGTCTACAGAGCAAGTTCCGGAACAACCAGGACTGCACTGAGAAACCCTGTCTCGAAAAACCAAAAAAAAAAGGATTGCTATTTACCAAATTGTGGGTAACCTGAATTATTCTAGTTGTAATGCATACAAAAAGTCAGAATAAAACCTTATCAGTTGAAGGGTACAGTGGTTCCTGTTTTTAAACCCAGCACGCAGAGGCACAGGCAGGAAGATTCCTATGAGTTCAAGGCCAGTCTAGACTACAGACTGGCTAGTTCCAAAAAAGCTAGAGCTTCACAAAGAAACCCTGACTCAAAAAAAAAACCAATAAGTAAGTATAAAAATACTGCATTTATTTATTTATTTTGTGACACATGTATGTGGAGGACAATTTGTACGAGTCAGCTCTCTTTCTTCCACCATGTGGGCCTAGGAATCAAATTTGGGTAATCAGACTTGGAGGCAGGTGCCTTTACCTACTGAACCATCTCACCAGCCAAAGGTGGTGACTTATGAATATATTATATTTTTATTTATACATATTATTTATTGTATTTATATATATATACATTGAACAAAAACTTCAATAGAGAAGCTGTGGTTGGCTGTGAAGAAAAAAATCGTGGAAGGGGTCTTGATCTGCAGAGACTGGTGGACTGATTAGGATTTTGTACTGTAGAGACGTTAGAATTTTATAGGTTACTAAGCTAATTATGCCAGGTGGTGGTGGCACACGCCTTTAATTCCAGCACTCAGGAGACAGAGGCAGGCAGATCTCTGTGAGTTTGAGCCCACCCTGGTCTACAAGAGCTAGTTCCAGGACAGGCTCCAAAGCTACAGAGAAACCCTCTCTTGAAAAACCAAAAGGGAAAAAAAAGTGCAGATCAGTTGAAAAAGCTGTAAAATAATTTCTCTGTAGCACTATAGCTCTTAACCACTTTTTGACTCATTTGCTTTACATTTTCCAACCCTCACAGCCTTTATTCTCTCCATTTACACACTAATTGGGTGTGTCTCCTTGTTAGAGTTGTATTACCTTTAAGGCAGCTAAATAGCACTTCTTTAATGGCTGCTCTTGAGAAATTCTCTTATGTCAAGTTAGATGTGGTGGCTCCCTTCTATAGTCCCAGCCAGGAGGAGCTGAGGCAGAGAATCATAGCTCACAGACTGCCTGCAAAACGTTTAGGAGATTGCTTGCAGCCAAAATCCAAAACAAACACTAAAGTTGTTTGCAGACATTAAGTCCGTTTTTTTTTTTTTTTTAAACAGTTCCGTGGTTGGAGGTAAAAGCTTGGGTCTTACACTAACTAGCTGTTTACCCAACCCCTAAGCTACATCACCAAGCCTTAATTTAAAATCCTAAGTATAGAATGAAAGTTGATGTTCAGATCTCTTTCTGTGTATTTTTACTTGACAACAAATTCAACTGCCTGATGATTTTGAGTTTCCCACACAGCGAAGATTAACTGTAGCAGGCTTTCTTTTGGGACATAAACAAGCCCCAAATCATGACATGGGGACTAATTATTAGTTATGAATGCTTGGCCTTATCGTATGCTTGTCCCACAAGCTCTTATAGCTTAAGTTAACCTGTTTCTCTTCACCGATGTTTTGCCTCAGGGCTTTTTGCCTTTGATTCTGTATGTCCTACTTTCCTGTTTCTCTTGGCTGAAGGCTCCCTAGCTGACCCCAGCTTCTCTCTCATTTTCTCAAGCCTAGCTTCCTCCTCCAGCTTATTCTGTCTTCCCACCAGCCCCACCTATCCTTCTACTGCCTAGCTATTGGTCGTTCAGTTTTTTATTAGACTATTGTTGCCTTAGGCAAGCAAAGTAAAACAAATGCAACACATCTTTACATAAATAAACAAATGTAACGTAAACAAATGTAGCATAAACAAATGTAACACATCTTTACATAATCAAAGTAACATTTTAGGGGCTGGAGAGATGGCTCAGTGGTTAAGAGCACTGGCTGCTCTTCCAGAGGTCCTGAGTTCAATTCCCAGCAACCATATGGTGGCTCACAGCCATCTGTAATGAGACCTGGCGCCCTCTTCTGACATGCATGGAGGCAGAATGTTGTATACATAATAAATAATAAATTTTTTTTTATAAAAAGTAACATTCTACAACAGTGAACTCAGACTGACTTTCTGCTGGGAGGTGCAGCAGTAGGTAGGATTAGAATAGAAATTTTATTTTGTTCTGTGAAAAAACATTGGTGGAATGATGTCAGTTAAATCAGTATTTCTTTTTAATTTGTTTATTTGGTTGGTTCAGGGTTTTTTTGTTTTGTTTTTGTTTTTTTGAAACAATCCCATTCCTATCTCCCTCCACTCTCAGTCCACTGGGAAAATCTGTTGTGTTTCTCCTTCCCAGGCAGATCCCTGTGTTACCCCTTGAGCCCTCCTTGTTACTTACCGAGTAAACCTATTTTACGACAGAATAACTGAACTGATAAAAAGAGGCCCACTGAAGATGAAACTGAGCCATACTTCCTCCAAGAAGGAGAACATAGGTACCCCTATTAAAAGATCACATAGCTGTTGTAGTGGTGCACACCTTTAATCCTAGAATTTGGGAGTCTTAGGCAGGGAGCCTGATCACACAGTGAGGTCCAGGACAGAAGAGAGTGACAGGACATAGAGAGACCCAGTCACAACAACAGAGAACACATGTGATGAACATCACACGGTACTTTGCACAGACACTGTGTTGACAGTGAAAGTAGAAGCCGGAGAACCTCCACCATTGTTAGAGAAGAAACTGGGGCCAGCAAAACGATAAAGGCACCTGTTGGGAATTTTCCTAAAGTGAGCTCTCTGCCGACGCAAAAATCCCAATCAAGCCAACTTAAAAAACATCCAGGTTTAATGGGATTCCTGCTCTCTCAGTGAGTTCTGGCGG